GTTTGGAATAAAAAATAAAAGGAAGGGTGTGGACAAGTGGTCAAGTTGATAAACGGGGGGGGGGGGGGGGCACATTCTCATACCCCTGTACTAGTAGGAACAAATCTGTTTTATTTCTCCTTCAGTGAATAAAAGAACAAGAGATCATGACATTTGAGTTATTTTAGCTAGTAACTGTGACAACTTTTTCCATTTAGGAACAAACCAGTTTCTTTTTAAAATACTCGTATTTACCAAAGTACAAAAGTTTTGAAAATGCACAGAAAATTGAGGTAGCCAACCCGGTACCGGTACTAATACTGATGGTAATTTACCATTCACACACAAAAAATGAAGTTTCATTCAGATACCTAGATCTAGATATAATGTTTCACATGATTGTCTGTCAAGGAAGGAAGACCAAGGCGACGATGGAGTGAATCTGTGGCAGACACCTTTAAAGATCATGGGATGTCCCTCCTACAGGCCACACGACTTGCTGCAGACAGACGCATGTGTCTCCCCGCGACACCCCAGGGTACAAGCGGAAGAAAAAAGTAAAGTAAAGTAAGTCTGTCATGGCAAGCTGGAAAATAATAAACACGGGGGGAGGGGGGTATAGAACAATGGGGTGGGGGGGGGGGGCTTTTTCTGCATATTCGATACCTTTTCAGCACTCACCAGAACGTTAGGCTTGTAGACTTTCGTCCCCCGGATAAAGAGGTCTTCATGCTGTCCGTGTATGGATTCGATGGATTTCTGCACAGAAGTAATAATAGATAGCATTTGTATGGCGCAAACCCCCGCTCAACAGCAAGCGTATTTCTGCACAGAAGTGGTCGCTTTTAAGGACAAGCGGGCTAACCCAGATTTCGGGGGGTTTCCAGAAATCTTGACCTACACCAAAAGTGGGCATTGCCCTACCTATAGGAGAAGTTTGGTTTCATTGGAGTGTGTATTTTTCTTCTTTTTTTTTTTTTACTCTCCTCGTCTTTTAAAGATGGAACTGAACAAGGGTCCTAAAACTTTACCATCGATTTACTCAAAACAGATTTTTTGGGGATATCCCCCTTGTGCTTAAAAGCGACCAATCAATAATAGCATTTTTGTACAGTGCAAAATCCCCGCTCTACAGCAAGTTTTGTGCGCTCACAATCTATATTACCCCAGCAGATCTGACCGCATTCCGGAACAATCTGAACTCTCAGGGAATTCCACGCACAAGACAAAGGATATTGAGCAGGAAGAGGGGAGGATGTGAACGATAATAATACTTGTATTAACCCTATCCGTACACCCTGGGGTCATTTTGTACCCCCCGGGGTTGTATTCTTCACATTTTAGAATACTTCTAGTACGAAACTCTCTTTGAAACTTTCAGTATTTCTCAAAAAATCATTTTTACAGACTGCTGTGCAAAGCGTACGGGTCGGATTAACGAGTAAATCTCCTCTTTGGAAAGTGGTGGCATAGAGTTCCCCACGTCGTATAGATACAAAAGTAAAACACGACGTACGGATAGGGTTAAGTGGTGGCACAGAGTTCCCCACGTCGTATGGATACAATAGTAAAACACGACGTACGGATAGGGTTAAAAACAGGAAAGGGAGGGAAGTAAGGAAACTTTGCCGTGCTCAGAGTTGTCTACAGTACCTAACCATGTTGGAAAAATGTCTTAGTGATACCCTGTGAAAGAACAGAGAGTGAGCTGTTCTGAAACCTAGCTGTAAAACTCAATATTTGCTCTTTCATCCCCTCCTCCTCCCCCCGCTCTCTCTTTGTTTCTATCCTTGTATTTGTCTGTCAGCCCAGCTCTCTATCTGTAATCTATCTGATAAAGCCTATGTCTTTATAAAGTTTACAAACAAGAACACACCGTTGGATATCTGTTTCCTCAATGCACCCCTGTTGTATCTCTCTCTCTCTCTCTCTCTCTCTCTCTCTCTCTCTCTCTCTCTCTCTCTCTCTCTCTCTCTCTCTCTCTCTCCCTCTCTCTCCCTCTCTCCTCTCTCTGTCTCTCTCTGTGCGAGCGTGTCTGTCTGTCTGTCTGTCTGTCTGTCTATCTGTGTCTATTTGTGTGTTTGTCTGTCTGTCTGTCTGTCTGTCTGTCTGTCTGTCTGTCTGTCTGTCTGTTAGCCTGCCTGTCTGTTAGTTTGTCAGTCTGTCTGTCTGTCTGTTAGTTTGTCGTTTCTACCATTGGAATATCTTTTTCTTCGACGCGCCCCCTCTTGAGGATACGGTCTGGAATCACCCTCGGATCAGTCCTCAGGTACACTGGAGTGAGAGAGGAACAATTGTGACAGTTAAGTTATTGGATTATTTATACTGCTGCTGCTGCTGCTGCTGCTGCTGCTGCTGCTGCTACTACTACTGATGATAATGATAATGATGATGAAGATGATGATGAAACGTTGAACTTATATTAAATTTTTTTAAATCAACTAAGTCTCAAACCCTTTTTTTATTCCCTGCTACCTACAATGATGATGATGATGATGATGATGATGATGATGATGATGATGATGATGATGATGATGATGATGATGATGATGATGATGATGATGATGATATTGATAGCGATAAATAATGATAATGATATTGATAATGATAACGATAATGATATCAATTTTTCAAAAAATAATTATAAAATTATAAGAAAGATAAAAGGCCAAAGATAATCAAGACAATAATAATAATAATACACTATATTATTACCCCAGCAGACCATAGAACACTCTGAAACATTCTCAGCTTCCCGGGAAGCATACAGTGCAAGCAGCTGATTAAGCGCTCAAACACTAACAAACTGACAAGATCTTTCGCTGTCTATAGCCGGGTACCCATTTCCACCTGGGTGAAGTGAGGAAAATTCGTGTAAAGTGCCTTTCCCAAGGACACCACGTCGGGCCCCTGACGGGATTCGAACCCACGACCTTACGGTTGCGAGTCCGAGAGCCTAACCACTAGGCCACCGACATCATTGTCTCAGTAACTCAAAACGGCCTATAAATATAATGTCACACAGAACTTTGTTATTCTCAGGTAGCAAATTGTTATTCCGGCTATAACCACGGTCATCGGGAAAAAGCTTAAGCGTGCTTAAAGCCGAAGCGTGCTTAAGTGCGAAGTAGACATAATCCAGAGATTTTCATGTAGAAAATTCCCCGTGCTATTTCCCTTTGTTTGTAAGTAGGCCTATAGCGGTCCCGCAAAAGTGTGGACTGTTATTTAGACACCCGCCAAGGTAGTTTTTGTTCGCTTGTTTGTTTTTGTTTTGTGGTCGAATGGGAAATGAAAACTTAATTTAGACGGCCAGTCACGATACAGCACACTAGGCCTACTGTAACACACTGCCTGTGCGTACCACTGCCCGCTGTGCCACTCATACCATCGCCTTCATCCCACTTCGCGTGTGATACACAATCAGGATTAATGGATAGCGAGGGTCAAAGGTGAAATCGCAGCCAGCCTCCCTTTCTCGTCTCCCCGACTCTCTTTGTATTTTTTGGGGGGGTCGTGTGTAGCTTTGCCCTAGGCCTAGGCTAGATCCTATGTCCGTGCGCACGACTGTGTGCATCTCTCTGCCTTCCTCTGAGTGTGTGTGTCCATCACTTGCGTTCTTTGTGTTTCTCTTGACACACTCCACTGCTGCGGTGTAGACTGTGTTCAAACTTCGAGGGGTCATCATGAAAATATTGACTGTCTTGTAAATGAGGCGTGCTTGAAGCCGAAGTTACCGTGCTAAAAGGCGTGTGATTTATATAGCAAAAATTCGGTAAGAGCCGTTTAGCGTGCTTGAGTCCGAAACGTGCTTAAGGCCGGCGTGCTTAAAGCCGGCACGGACTGTAATAATAAATAGCATTTGTATAGCGCATGTCCCCACTTGAAAGCAAGCTCTATGCGCTTTTACACTATATTATTACCCCAGCAGACCATAGAACACTTAGAAACATTCTCAGCTGCCCGGGATTATTCTAATGATTACCGTAGAGATCCACTTT